GGGATATCCTTGAAAACGATGGTGAAGACATTGCAGAAGGAGGGGCAAGGGTTGTGGGTGGAATTGGACGATGAATGTACAGGGGGAAAACTGAGGAAAATGGCAGTAGACCTACCCACTGGAGTAGTAAGGATACTGCAGCTGCACAGGAAGGTGTTTGAAGAGTCAGGAGAGTTACCCCCAGCTAGAGACATCGACCATGCCATCCTCTTGAAAGATGGTTCGGAACCAGTAAGTGTCCGGCCCTTCCGGTACCCTCATTTTCAGAAAAATGAGATCGAAAAGTTGGTCAAGGAAATGCTGGAAGCAGGGATTATTCAGCCGAGCGTCAGTCCATTCTCCAGTCCTGTACTGCTGGTGAAGAAGAAAGATGGCAGTTGGCGTTTTTGTGTCGACTACAGAGCATTGAACAAAGTAACGGTCCCAGACAAATTCCCAATCCCAGTAATAGACGAATTATTGGATGAGCTCCATGGTGCATCAGTGTTCTCGAAGTTAGACTTGAAGTCAGGCTACCATCAGATTAGAGTTCGGAAGGAAGATGTGCATAAAACAGCTTTCAGAACTCACGAGGGGCATTATGAATTTCTAGTGATGCCGTTTGGCCTCACTAATGCCCCGGCAACATTCCAATCACTGATGAACGAAGTATTCAGAAACTATTTGAGGAAATTCGTTTTGGTTTTCTTCGATGACATCCTAGTGTACAGTAAAGATGTGTTCGAGCATGAACATCATTTGGACACGGTTTTCACAGCTCTGGAAAGGCATCAACTGCGCGCCAACAAAAAGAAATGCCTCTTCGCTCAACCTCAGATAGAGTACTTGGGGCACCTAGTCTCAGTCGAAGGAGTGGCCGCTGATCCGAACAAAATCACATCAATGATTAATTGGCCTGCTCCCCGTAATCTGCGGGAACTTCGAGGCTTCTTGGGACTGACCGGGTACTACAGAAGATTTGTTGAGGGCTATGGTGCCATTTCCTGGCCGCTTACACAACAGTTAAAGAATGATTCATTCGGTTGGAATGAGGAGGCAGAGGCAGCTTTTCAACAGTTAAAACTAGCCATGACTACGGTCCCAGTGTTAGCTCTTCCTGATTTCTCCAAGCCTTTCACCATCGAGACAGATGCTTCAGGTTTTGGTCTAGGGGCAGTACTCATGCAAAACCGGCGGCCCATTGCATACTACAGTCAAGTGTTATCGGCAAAAGCTCAACAAAAGTCCATCTACGAGCGAGAATTGATGGCCATCGAGCTAGCAATTCAGAAATGGCGTCACTATGTGTTGGGAAGGAAGTTCATTGTGCGCACTGACCAACGCAGCCTCAAATACCTCCTCGAACAGAGGGTTATTCCAGGGGAATTCCAGCGTTGGTTGACCAAGCTGATGGGGTTTGACTTCGAGATTCAATACCAACAGGGCCTAGAGAATAAAGCGGCAGATGCATTATCATGCATTGTCCCACCCACCGAACTGGCAACCCTCACTTTCACAAAGTTACTGGATACACAGTTGATTGAGACTGAAGTGGAGCAGGACCCATTGCTGTCCAAAATCAAACATGACTTGCAGGAAGATCCGGATTCACACCCGCGATACTCGATCACACAGGGAAGATTGCTGTACAAAGGACGACTGGTAATCTCCCGCACGTCATCATTAATACATGCACTACTGCATGTGTTCCATAGCAGCACCTTGGGTGGTCATTCAGGGTTCCTTCGCACTTATAAACGGCTCACCAGTGACTTATATTGGACGGGGATGAAGGCGGATATAAAGAAATTTGTAGCAGAGTGTCCAGTTTGTCAGCAGAATAAGTCCGTGGCTCTCTCCCCGGCCGGGTTGCTTCAGCCTTTACCCATTCCCCACCTCATTTGGGAGGACATCTCAATGGATTTCGTGGAAGGTCTACCTAAGTCAGGGGGGTACAATTCAATCCTGGTCGTGGTGGATCGCTTAAGCAAATACGCACACTTTGTGCCCCTTAAACACCCGTTCACAGCGTCTGGGGTCGCAGCAGTTTTTGTCAAAGAAATAGTGCGCCTCCATGGCATTCCCAACTCAATTATCTCAGACAGAGATAAGGTATTCTTAAGCCACTTTTGGACGGAACTTTTCCGCATGCAAGGAACCTTCTTACGCCGAAGCACGGCCTATCACCCTCAAACGGATGGGCAAACGGAAGTGGTAAACCGGTGCGTGGAAACCTATCTTCGTTGCTTCACTTACGATCGGCCAAAAAATTGGCATGCATGGCTTCCATGGGCAGAGTATTGGTATAACACCACATTTCACTCGTCAACAAAAACAACCCCGTTTAGGGCAGTGTATGGTAGAAATCCCCATCCATTGATCCGCTATGGAAGACAGGTTACAAATGTTCAGTCGGTCGATCAACAGTTGCAAGCCCGAGACATAATGCTCGAAGAGTTAAAAAACCATCTCCTTCATGCTCAGGAGAAGATGAAAAAGGAGGCAGATAAACACAGACGGGATGTGCAATTTGCGGTTGGGGACCTAGTTTATATCAAATTGCGACCATACCGTCTCCGTTCCTTGGCTAGGAAGGAGAACGAAAAACTGGGGCCAAAGTATTTCGGTCCTTTTGAGGTAGAGAAACGGATAGGGCCGGTTGCATACCGTCTGAAATTACCTCCTGCCGCTACAATACATCCGGTTTTCCATGTGTCGCAACTGAAGAAGGCAATGGGTGCAACGGACGCAAGCCAACTATTTCCACCACACCTTGATGCAAACCTTGAATGGATTGTGGAACCTGATCAAGTTCTGGGAGAGCGGCCAGATGGAGAAGTACTAATCAAATGGAAGGATTTACCTACTACCGATGCTTCCTGGGAATCTGCAGAGGCTATACTTAAACATTTCCCAAGTTTCCACCTTGAGGACAAGGTGTCTTGGAGGCCCGGAAGTATTGATAAGCCC